CGCAGGCAGTCTGCGTCTTGACGGGCCAGAAGAGGTCCTTGAGGAGCCACGTGGACGTGAGGCGCACGTTGTACTGGTTCCTGCTGTCGCCCACCTCCCGTGGCAGGATGCCAGAGCTGGCGTAGCGGAAGAGCATGTTCATGCCTGATGTTGCCGGGCTGACGGTCGCCTCGCTCACCCGCAGCCCCAGCGACGCTGCTGCAATGCGTTGGTGGTTGAGGGTGCAGGGAGGGAGGGAGGGAGGGAGGGAGGGAGGGAGGGAGGGAGGGAGGGAGGGAGGGAGGGAGGGAGGGAGGGAAGGGCAGGAGAAAGCAGGCAGGGGGGAGCAGGAGGAGGAGAAGCAGGCGGGGACAAGGCAGGCCAGGGTGTGGGACGTAAGGGGGAGGGGAGAATGTTGTCAATGGTTGTTTCTTTCTCCGTTCCTGTAGTAGGTTTTTAAAAGCGAGAGAAAGCGAGGAACACAGACGCTACTGGGTTTGCGAAAGGCAAGGAAGGTTGCATGTGTGCGTGTGCATGCAGGGAAGGAAACTTACCACCACGCTTGGCAGGTGCTTGTGGGAAACCTGCAAGGCATCGGAGGGGTGGGGGAGGGAGGAAAAGGGGTGGGCGGGATCGACTTTGACAAAGAAAGGGTATGAGACGAGGAGAGATGCATGGCGAACAATACCAAAGAAGCAGGGAGCAATGTCAGCTACAGATTACTGAAACAGAAGGGGCAGTGCAGGACCAATGACGGATGGAGAAGGAAGGGAGAAAAGTAGCATGAGATAAGGCGCAGGGGAGCATGCGTAGCAGATACTTGAACCAATCGACGACAGCCACACTCACACAAGTGGTACTGGATAAGCTTTTGAGCCCAGCCGTACAAACTGTTGCAGAATGGCGACGTAGAATCACCATTTGAAGAGGTGCCTCAAAAGACATGCCCGGCTGGCATGCCTGTGCGCAAGTGACATTGACACACTCACGCGTGGTAAAGTTCCACGATGAGATGGCGTGCCTCTGCGCCTGGCTGCCCGATGCCGCAGTGAAGCCCACCGCAAATGTGCTCTCCAAGCGGGTGGGCTGGAGAACGTCACACAGGGAGATGCGTGCTGACAGCACGGGCTTGGACGGGCGTGGGGAGCGGGTGGAGGAGAGGAAGACGCGCAGGGTGCCTGCAGCTGCAGCAGTAGCTGTAGCTGCAGGAGCAGCGGCATCAGGAGGAGCGGAGGGGTCGTAGTCGATCCAGGCGTACTTTGAAGTGCCGTCGTTGAGCGGCGTGGGGGCAGCAGCTGTGGCTATGGACACAACACTGCCGTTCACATTCACTCCCACGTGGTTCCCGCCCGGTTCGCCGCTGCTGCTGCCGCTGCTGTTTTTGCTTCTGCTTGTCCCGCCGGGGCTGCCGCCATCCTGCCACGTGTCAAACTCCACTGCCACGCTGCGCGCAGCCATCCCAGCGTACCCCATGCCACCTGCCACCGCCTCTGCTGGTGGGGAGGAGTCAAACGCTATCACAAAGGCAAACCCTTCGGAGCCGGCCGCGGCCGTACGGGTGAGAGTGAAGGAGAAAGACGAGGAGAAGGCGAGCTCGCGGCCGCACCCGTCAGCAATGAGCTGGTAGGAGAAGAGCGGCACCTTTTCCGACAGGAACACTGCTCCAGTCGTGCCCGCCTGCAGGGGCGTGAGAGTGAAGGACTTTGCCACCCCATCCACGCTCGCACTCCCAGTCGCAGTCAGCGCAGCCGGCACTGCCACGGGTTGCATGGCAACGAGCGCCGACCCACCCACCACAGGCACGCAGCTGCCCCTATACTCCCCGATCTGGAACCCCTCGTAGCACTGGCACACCGGAACCTTGTTCGGGCCCTCCAGGAAGCATTCTCCGTGGCCGTTGCACGGGGGGTCTGTGGCGGTTAGGCCACAGAAGGACGAGCAGACCTCTGGAAGCCTCTGCTTGTCTCCCGGGCAGGTGAGCCCAGGATCGGTCTGGCTGACGCAGTTGCCGCGGACGGAGACAACGGCACAGTTGGGCGGGGAGGAGAAGCCCTGAGTGAAGAAGTTCTTGTCGAGCTGGTACTGCACGATGTTGGGTGGCGGGTTGGGCAGAGGGCCTGTGAGCTGGTTGTCCCGCAGGTTGCTGGTGGCAGGGCGGGGAAATTGGCCGCAAGGGGAATTAGAGCAAAGAAGGATTGAAGAAAAAAAAAGGATTGGAGAAAAGGGGGATTGGAGAGGAAGGTTATTGGAGAGGAGCGGGGCGTTAAGGAGGGAATGAGGGGAAGAGAAGAGGGGGAGAAGATCGGTGGAGAGCAGATGAGTGGAACAATCGGGAGAGCATGGTAGGGCATGAGACGCAAGGGTTGCGTTGCGGGTGGAAGAGGGGGGAGGCTATGAGAGGAAGGAAGAGTGGGAGAAGATCGAAAGGGAGAATGACAAAGATGTTCATGCAGGATGCAGAAGGGGAGGGGAGGAGGTGCAGTGCAGACAGTGTGCGGTAACGAACAAGTATTAGAAGAGCAGAGCGAAGCGAGTATGTGAGGGAGGCTGGGATGGGATGGCTTGTTTACAGGACTGTGAGCTTGACAAGGCCTGTGAAGTCCTCGGGAATCTCTCCGCTAAGGCTGTTGCCACTCAGGTCCCTGACACAAAGCAGCAGCAGGAGCGGCAGCAGCGGCAAATAGGGACGAGTGACAATGGGAAGAACAAATTAGTGAGTGCAATGAAGGAGGCCGGGGAGAAGAACGAGAGGAGAGGAAAGAAAGGGAGTTCTTGTGAGGTGGATTGGAGATAGAGGGGAGGAGAGAATTGAAAGAGAGCGGAAGGAGAGACGAGGAGTGGAAAACGGGAGGGGGGACAGCAATAGTTACAGGAGTGGAAGAGGGGAAGGGGGGTCAGCAATGGTTACAGGTGCTCGAGCAGCAGGAGACCGCCAATGGATTCTGGAATGGTGCCTGTGAAGTTGTTGTCTGCTAGACGACTGCGAGGATGGGACAGCAGGGAAGAGACGGCATGGTACAGCATGGCATGGCAGCACGAAGAGGCACATGGAATCCGCACACGAGGGGGAGGAAAAGGAAGAGGGAATGACTGCGGAGGTGGGGAACCGTGGGTGGGTGGGAGAATGATTTGAGAATCACAATAAGGAGGATGGACAAGGGTGAGTGTAAACAAGAAAGCAAGGCAGCGAGAGGCAGTGAGCGAGGCATGCCTCACAAGGTGCCTGGGGAAGGCAGGAGTGAGTGAGCATGAGCACGTGCATGCATGCATGAACAAGGAGACGCACAGATTTGTGAGGGAGTTTAAAGGGTCAACGTTGGGGATGGTCCCAGATAGTTGGTTGTTCTGCAGCTGACTGTTCAATCGGCAACGGCAGGACACGGGTAAAAAGAGCGAGATGAGTCACGATTTTGAGAATTGTAAAAAATGACGGGGAATGAGTCTTGTGGTGGGGAGCGAGATGCAGTAGCAGCAGCTGCCGCCACCGCCGCCGCTGCGGCCGCCGCAAAAACAGAAAGGTGGAGAGGGAGTGCAGTGAGTGGTGGGATGAAGAGCAGCAGGTTCATGCATGGAATGAAAAGCGGACAAGGTGCGGCATGCGTGACACAGAACGTGATGCATGAATGGAATGCAACAGGCGACGTTTAGAAGAGGAATGGCACATGCCATTTGCTGCGTAAACCTCGAAATATGCTGTGCAATGCATGTGATGCATGTGATGCAATTAGCATACATGTCGTTTAGGCGGTTGAAATTCATGAGTGATGGAGGAATCGAGCCGGCCAGGAAGTTGTCGCTAAGGCACCTGACAATGGAGCATCAGAAAAGGCACAAGAGAAAATGCTTGAGCAAGGGCACACTATACCCATCAGCAAAGAAGCATCTACTTCTGAGGCGCCTGAACAACAGAAACAACAGGGAGAAGTTGCTGGTGTACGGGATAGAAGCATCTGTTGCATACACAACATATCAGTGCGGCGGCATGCCATCATGTGCACTATCTTAAATGCCGGGGTAACGGAGAGTCAAGGTGGGTGGAGAGGAGAGTGAGAGTGGGTGGGAGGAGGGAGAGTGAGGGTGGAGAGAAGGAGTGATGATGGAGAGAAGGAGAGTGAAGGGGAGAGAAGGAGAGTGAAGGGGGAGAGAAGTAGAGTAAAGGGGGAGAGGAGGAGTGTGATGTGAAGGAGCTACAGCGGAGTTGAAAAATGCCAACCGCAGCAAGCCGAAGGTCTCCTTGAGACTTTCGGCTAGAAGTCATGGGCAGGTTGTTGTAGAGACCAGGAGGAAAGTAAAGAACAAGATCCGATAAGTCTCGTGGCAAAAGAAATATTCGCGAACACGTTTCGGCTGAGCCTTCATCGGCGGCGTTGTTAGACATTCTCACGAACCCAAGGTGCTGCACGGTAATTTTGAGAATTCTCAAAAATACCCATCGGTATTGTTAGAACTTCTAACTTCACAGCATCGCCATTCTCGCGAACCCAAGGAGCCCGCTACTGTTGTTCTCTTACGAGAGAGCATTCCATGAGAGGTGAGAGCCAAGGGCAGATGAGATGAGATGAGAGGGAGGGAGAGCACACACATCAACCCCGACCATGAGAAACACACACACAGACAGAGCCAGACACACAATGGCAGCATTTGAATGTCGTCTTTCCACCTGCCTGCTGCCCCACCAGCCAGCTCACTTACAGGCTCTCCAGCTTTGGCGGAGCATCATCGACCGACGGATGAGCCACAGCAGCAGCCTTGGACACACGGGTTGCAGAGCGGGTGATCATCCTGTCTGCGGCCTGGAGCACACTGCTCGCAATCTCTCCCGTCAGCAGGTTCCTACCCAGGTTCCTGTGCAGCAAAGCGCGGCGCAGAGAAGGCGGGGAAGCAGAGGGGAAACTTGTGGCATTTCTCAGAGGGGATTATTGAGTTATTGCACAACACTGAAGATTCATGCAAGCAAGAAGAAGAGAGTACTGCAAAGGCGAATCTCTTTCCGTCCGCACGTTCCTCGGCAGGTTTCTGCACTGCGCAGTGCACACAAGTGTGGGGGGGGCGGGAGGAGGGGGGGGGGGGGGGGGGGGGGTTCGTGGAGATGTTAGCTTATGTGGTGCGTGTTAGCCCTTGCACTTACAGCACCCGAAGCTGGGTCATGATGACGAGGAGGGGGGGGATGGTCCCGGACAGTTGATTGTTGTTGAGCCACCTGAGACGATGCACGATGTGATAAGTATGGGAGCAAGGCAGAGAGGGGCGGGGTTGACAACTCGGCAGCACTGTCAGCCAACCAGTATGCGAGGCTGATTGAATCTGGTTATGAGAGTAGAACATGAACTGTCAAACTGGGTCATGCAGCACCGCACAGCACAGCTAAGCACAGCACAGCACAGCACAGCATGCACACCGCATGTAGAGTGCACGCATCGTGCATGGGAAGAAAGGCTTACAGGGTGTCAAGATTGACAAGAACAGAAAACGTCATAGGGATAGTGCCTGGTATGACGTTGCCATTCAAGTACCTGCACACATGCATGCATGTAATGTAGGGCACCACAGCACACAGTGGAGGCGAGAGCACAGAGGAGAACACAGATGGGAACACAGATGGGAACACAGATGGGAACACAGATGGGAACACAGTTGGGAACACAGATGGGAACACAGATGGGAACACAGATGGGAACACAGATGGGAACACAGATGGGAACACAGATGGGAACACAGATGGGAACACAGATGGGAACACAGATGGGAACACAGACGGGAACACAGATGGGAACACAGATGGGAACACAGATGGGAACACAGATGGGAACACAGATGGGAACACAGATGGGAACACAGATGGGAACACAGATGGGAACACAGATGGGAACACAGATGGGAACACAGATGGGAACACAGATGGGAACACAGATGGGAACACAGATGGGAACACAGATGGGAACACAGATGGGAACACAGATGGGAACACAGATGGGAACACAGATGGGAACACAGATGGGAACACAGATGGGAACACAGATGGGAACACAGATGGGAACACAGATGAGAACACAGATGGGAACACAGATGGGAACACATATGGGAACACAGGTGAGAACACAGCCAAAGGCACGGCGCAGCCTTCACTCGTCATGTGGTGTCGGATTCACGCGCCAATACGTGCAACACTAAATGGCTGAAAGGAACAAGCATGTCGTCACGAGCTGCCCCGTGGTGCATTGCATTGCATCGCATGCATGGGCTTGCTGCGTGTGCAGTGCAGAGCAGAGCAATGCAACGCTGACGAGAGGGTGCATTTTTTTGAGTCGTCTAGAAGGTAAGCAGGAAGACGGGAGTACAATGGTGGTGGTGGGCGGGTTGACTGACAGTTGCTGGAGGGTGGTGAGGGAGAAGAGTGAGTCTGCAATGGCTGCCAGCCTGTTGTAGCCCAGGTCACTGCGAGCGACAGCACAGAATGGAGCCATGCCATGATACCACGGCCATGCACGCAGCATGTGCACACGCACGCACGCACGCACCCACCCAGCCACCAACCCACCCACCCACCCAGACACACACACACACACACACACACACACACACACACACACACACCCACCCACCCACCCACCCACCCACCCACCCACCCACCCACACACACACCCACCCACCCACCCACGCACACACCCACACACCCGCACACACACACACACCCACACACACACTTGGAAAATTTTAGAAGCGATCACGGGGCGCAAGGGAGGAGCGAAGAGCGGGAAGAGAGGCCGAGGGACAGGAGAGCTCGGGGAAGGAGGGTGCGGGAAGGGGAGAGTTGGGGAGAAGCAAGAAAGGGATCAGTCACATCCGCCCAGGAAAAAACTTTTGAGGCGCCTCAGAAGGGGATCAGCTACGTCAGCCCAGAAGAAAATCGCTATCACGTGGCAAAGAATATGTGGAGAAGACGGATGGGTTGGCTGGTATCGTATTGATGTTATCCGATTTGATTCTTAAGTGGGGGGTAAAAGGCACTGACAGGATCTCGAGGGACGGCGCAGTGATGGGCCCAGGGGGAGTGATGCCCGTAAGAGCGTTGCTACGGAGGATCCTACAAGTGAGTGAGGCGGGAGTGAGGCGGGAGTGAGGCGGGAGTGAGGCAGGGGTGAGGAAGGAGTGAGGCAGGGGTGAGGAAGGAGTGAGGCATGAGTCAGGCATGAGTGGGGAAGAATACGCGTCTGGGGCCACAGCATGCGGTGCACTTCATCAAACGAGGAACCACGGCAGCAAGACTGCGAGCAAGTTGTCCTGGACATGCGGCAAAGCAAGGGAGGACGGACGGCACACAAGGACCAAGAAAGAGAGCAGCAGGCTCCATCCAATCCAAAAATATTATGATGAAATGAAACCACGTGGTCGTGATTCGTTCTGAGGCCACCATGTGCAAACGATGGAGCACAAGGGCATTGGATATCAAGGGCCACAAGGGAAAAGAAGGCGGGCTCCACACCACACTGCACTGATACGGTACTTCCAGGAGAAGCAGAGCAGAGGGCACAAGCACAGCGCACGATGCCTCAAGCAGGGAGGACGCAAGCACACGAGCAGCTTCTTTTGCAGTGCACATACATTGTCTTGATCACGGGCAGCGTGAGGAGCTTCCCCGGAATGTCGCCTTGAAGCCTGTTGTTCTCTAGGCTCCTGTTGTTCCCCATGGACATGGTGGGGTGGGTGGGGTCATCCAAAGAGTAGAAAGAAGCAGAGAGGCAGTGGGATTAAAAGAGAGATGCACTTGGACTTCAGAAAGTGGTGAGTTGAAGCAACTTACAAAGCAACTCCAACAATTGGATGCAGTACTGATTCATTGGTATGCACCCAACACACCAGCAGCCACACCCACATGGTTTGCACTCGCCCAACACCCACCCTCCCGCCCACCCTCTCGTTTGCCCTCCTCCCACCCGCCCGCACGCACGCACACAGCATCCTCTGGCACTTTAATCTCCATGTAGTCTGTTCCTTCAAAGACACCTCAACAGGCGTGCACAGCTTACAGTGCTGAGAGATTGACCAGAGAGGATAGCTTATCCGGTATGCTGCCAGTTATGTAGTTGTTCGACAGGTTGCTGAGGGCAGTGGGCAAAGGAAGAGGGGGGGAGGGAGAGGAGGATGGAGAGGGAGGAAAAAAGGTCTGGGAAAGAGCAGATGGAGGAAAGAGGGATGTGCAGGGAGGAGAGACGAGTGGATGAGGATGAGAGTGCAACGAAGAGGGAAACAGAGATTTGAGACTGCTCCAAAGGGACAGCCAGAGGAAAGTGGAGTGAGGAGTGACCGAAGGAGAGTGAGAGAGTGCGGGAGAATAGGAGAGAGGTTAAAGCAGACAGAGATGAATGATGGACAGTTGCAGAGATGAAGATTCCCAGTGCACTGATGGTAGGGCGCAGATGGCACACGGCACAGCACAGCACAGCACACAGCATAGCACACGGCACACGGCACGGCACAGCTGTATGGGAAATGCAACAGGAAAGCGACGTGCAACAGGAAAGCGCAGCCTGCCTGCAATGAACAAAAAGGGAGAAAGCAGAGCAGATTGGTGGAGAAACAAGCAAAAAATATTCCCCCAAAACAACACAAGACTAACAGGTAAACGAGGCCAGGGAAGTTGACGATGTAAGGCGGAAAGGGGCCGGTGAGACCAATGCCAGAGGCGTTCCTGCAGGGGTATAAGGCAAGGGAGACGAGACGTTGCGGTGCGGAGAGTGAGAGAGAAGAGCGGGGCTTGTGAGTCGACTCGTGAGCAGGACTCAGAGCGTGAAGAGAAGAAAGATGTTTTGAGTCGACTCAGGAGAGATGCTACGGTGCGGTGAAAGCAATGGGGCTCTTAGCGAATTCTCACATAAGCTGTGGTGGGGGAGGAAGGGAAGGGAAGGGAAGAGGAAGGATGGGGTGGAGAAGGAGAAGAAGAGAACGTGAGAAGGAAGGCCTTGGACTTGATTGTACAATGATGCTGGTGGTGGGAGCTGGTTCACATGCATGCGGTGTGAGTGCACGTGTGAGTGAGTGTTGGTGTAGCTGCTGCTCTCCCTACACTGGACTGGAGCGTATGAGTATTGACGCAGAGATGAGGAACAGAAGAGGACGCTATGAGAAAAAGAGAGCGAGCAGCATGGTGACGAAAGAGAGGGGAGAGAAGAGGAGGACGTGAGGGGAGAGCGGAGGTGAAGAGTGGGGAGGGGATAAGGGGAGAGCAGAGGAGAGGAGTAGAGAAGAGAGGAATTAGAGTGGAACGAGGAAGGGGTTCGGGTGCCAGGCAGGGAAGGAGTGTGTACAGTGATGTGAGGCCAGTGAGTAGGCTGAGTTGATTGGGCAGCGATGTGATGCCGGAGCCACCCAGCGACCTGGAGGGGAAACGAGAAAATGCAATGGGATGCGACTCGATGCAATGCGATGCGGGCGCAAGGCACGGCGGAACGGTGTGTGCACACGCGTCCATGCATGTGCGTGTGCGTACGCGTGCGCGTGCGCGTGCGTGCGCGTGCGCGTGCGCGTGCGTGTGCGTGTGCGTGTGTGTGTGTGTGTGTGTGTGTGTGTGTGTGTGTGTGGCGACTGCATAAGTACAGTGGTGAGGAAGTCGGTTTCCAGTGGATGAATGGTGAATAAGTAGCACGAGTGCAGCCTGGATCGAGGTGCAGCATTGCATGGCATGGCATGGCGTTGTATGGGGTGTTGTGAGGTATGGGACGGCACGGCATGGCACAGGATGGCATTGTATGGGGAGGCATGGCATGGCATGATATGTATGCACTGTATGAGATTCCTTTTTGAGGCATGCAACAACATGGCGTTGCATGGCATGCCTTGGCATGGCATGATATGGCTCTGTATGTGGCATGCCAGTGTGGTATGGCACCCAGGCACGGCGTGACATGACACATTGTATTGTGTTGTATGGCATGGCATGGCATGGCATGGACTGACAAGTGCTTGAGGTCGGTGAAGGAGACGAGGAGAGGAATGTCCTGAAGTGTGCTGTTGCTCAGTCCTCTGGGAGAGGGATGAACGGCAGGGCACGGCAGCAACAGGATAGGGCATAATACAGTGAGGCGGGGTGACATGGTACGGACATCGTAGGGGTTGGCATGGCATGGTATGGTATGGAACGACATGGTATAGTAGGGTTGACATGGTATGGGTTGTCATGCTATGGTATGGAATGACATGGTACGCTGATGTCTCACAAGCAAGGCCGCTCCTGAGACACGACTAAAGAAGGAAGGGGTCGATTTGAGCGTGCAGCAATGGGCAGACCGAATTATGTAAGCAATGAGTTAGAGTGAGTGAGTTGAGCATTGGCGGTGGAAGAAGCAGCACTGACAGTGTGAGGGGGGATGCTAAGAGTGTGGGGGGGGATGCTGAGAGTGTGAGGGGGGATGCTGAGCGTGTGAGGCTCGATGCTGAGAGTGTGAGGGGCAATGCTGAGTGTGTCCGGTTTGGTGAGGGGGGCGATACTGACAGGAAGGTGAGTGAGCTCAGTTTT